AATGCACGCAGAGTAAACTCACCTGAAAGGAAAAACCAAAGCACACATCGTTAGTCTTTCATTTACTTGTATTCCAAAAGTCCAAAATTTTCAAGCTAAAATTCCAAAAGCTCAAAAATTTCAAGCTAAAATTCCTAAAGTTAAAACATTCTGAGCTAAAAATAACGACCTGGTTCGGCAAGCCTTGCTCCAGCTTCTACACAAGCTCTCAAGACGCGATTAAGGCACACTTGGGTTCCATGGCATTGAAGCTCAACCACGTCTTCACGCGTATAAGACCTTGGGGCCAACATGGGCACAGCCAAAACCTGAAAGCAACCAAAACCCATGTCCTGTATCATTCACAGAATTCAAATTTCAACTCCATTCAGTGAAAGTGAAATTGAAAAGTACAGTACCTCGTCGATGACATTGCCGTTGGAGTCGCAAACGACGCCGTACTCAACCACATGGCTAGTGGGCCGCCACGTGCCCACCGTCTTCTTCCTCTTCTTCTTTGTCTGACGAAACAAGCGGCCAACAATGGCCACCGCAGATGGACCCGACAACCGCACAATCCCAACCGCGCCAGGAGGTCCCCCCAGTGACGTCACGATTGCCGCGATTGTGGTGGTGGTCTCCAGCTGCCGGGACCCACTCGCTAATCGCTCGTCTTTGCTGAGGAGCAGCGTTTGAGGCTGGGTCTTTTCTGGGTAAGAGCTAGTGAAAGAAGAGCAGTGGCATAAGGGTAAGTAGAGTGGGGAGCGAGGGTGGAGTTTGAGACGCTTGGGGGTGAGATGGGAGATTGAGAGAAGAGAGAGTGAAGTGGAAGCTATGGCGAATAGTGGTGGTTTCAGTTTGGGGCTTCTGTGCAGAAAATGGCGGAAGCTGAAAATGGAGAGCAGAGCCATTGATGTCTTTGTTTTCGGGTGAACGGCGATTCCGATTCTTCAGAACTCCGATGGTTTTCTAGTAGTGGAATTGGATTGGGTGTGTTGATAAAATCCACCAACCCACAAGCATGGGCCTTGGCTTAATTCTATATGAGCCCAAATTGGATTAAGTGGGCCCACTAAAAGTCCATGATAAGCAGAAAAATTTGTGTGAAATGGGAATAACATTGTTTTGCTCTTCCAATCAATCACAACTGGAAAAGTTATCATGCACCATAATTGGAGGGATAGCAAAATAATGTTATCCTTATTCCATAAAAGTATTTCTCCAAAATGGGCCCATGAGTTGTGGAGTCTAAGTCACTAATCGTGACCAATTTGCACACCTCTTCCTCTTTTTGGAGAGGACAATATGGATAAGCGGAAGTCATCATCAATCATCATCTCCCATTCCTTATCCAAGTTAACTTGGGGATTTTGTAATCTAGGAGGAGAAAAACTTGCATATCTTGGTACTATGCAATAGTTATGTTTCGTCTATCGATGGTTAATGTCCGGTGCAATAGTAGTTGGGTTTATTGGGTTCTTTTTTTCCATGAAATGGAATTTTGATTAGAAAGAATCCGGTTGCATCAAAGTTTTTCTCTTGCGTGACTATTTCTCTCATTATATGTCTATCATCATATGACCTAACATGTGATGAAATAGGTACCATTAATGACATGTTTATTAATCCGTAATTGGATTAGGGGAATTAAATTGAGGAGAATTAGATTTCAGATTTCTATTGAAGTTGTTTACTAAATCATATGAAATTGTAGTATAAGTGGTACTAATTACTAAAATGTCCTCGTTGTTGGGTTAAAGTATATAGCAAATTTTAAAATTTTAAAATTGTGTTAAGATATAATGGGTAAAAAAGATGAATTCCTAATAGGTTAGTTCTTCAGGAATTAGAATATCATCTCCCACCTAAAAATTGAATTCCTTCAAAATCAGGAATTCAATTCCTAATTTTGCATGAGCCTCACTTACTACAGGAATTTTCTATAGGTGGAATTCAATTCCTTATTAGTCAACACACCATAAGTTTTACTCAGGATCAAGTTTATACATAAAAATTAATGATTATCCCTTATTTATGGGAAGGGCACCATATAAAAATACACGGTACTAAACTTTTTCCTTTTCTTTGGTAAAAAGAAATACCAAAGTTTAGGATATTGACTCGTACGTAAAGAACAAATGATTTAGAATTCAATTCAGCAATACCTTTGACATTGTTGGATTGGTGCAGAACCCACCTAATGTGAAAAAGTTGAGTTTCTATAGCTTTTTGTCCAAGTGAATATAGTGGAGGATTTTAGGTGGGGTGGAAATGGGAGCTTAATTTCTTCACAAAGTAGTCTAACAGCTGTTAAGCAGCAATATAGTGGAGCATTGCATAATTCCATATAACTTACTAATGTTCAAAGCTAGGATTTCTCCTTTCCACAAAATCTAGAACACATTCATTTTTAGGTTTACTTCTCAAATAACAGCAAGGTTCTTTTCTACCTGAAATACCACCTGAGAGAATCATATCTTTTAAAGAAAGACATAAAAGAATAGTTATCTTCTGCTGCAAAAATACCCTCACTTATATCCCAACACTTTTCTCACAATTTGAATCAACCCAGAAATGAATATAGCTTCCTTTGCATCTACATTCATCCAAATCCAACAGCCTAACCAAATTCTCTTGTTCCCTTGAGCCCAAATCTCTCAACAACAAAAAAAAATTAAAGCGCTTGCATTCACTCTGCCAAACTGCTTGTGTCATCATTCTTTATAAATATGGTTTATAAAACTGAAAATGTGGCATCACTTGTTTAATATAATTGTTTATTAAGATATGATTAGTTAGCTAATTAACCCAATTACATGTTGGTGGGTGTTGGATCATATTTAATTAAGGCTTGGCCATGGAGTCAATGGCACAAATAACAACTTGGCTTGAAGAAGGGATATTGGGAAATTTCCAAGGTGCAATGTAAGCACAGAGATTCTAAGGATTTTGATACTTCAAGCCACAATCTTATCTCTTATGCAAAGTGCAAAATCATCTTCCTCTTTCTAGTTTTTTTATATTTTATTAGGATTATCACTACTTTTTGGGGATGAGGAGGATCCCACTCCCCACTTAATTTACCTGCTGCTGCTCTTTTATCCCATCACTTAACTGGACCTATTATTCTTTCTTATTCCTCATTCCAGTATGCATATATAGACTAGATACCACACTCTATTCTTCCATGTCTTATTTAATTTCTCTGATGATACCAACTACACTTTTCAATTTCATCAAGCTTGTTCCAGCAATTTGGGTAAATGAGAGAGAGAGCTGCTACAAGTTTGGGAGGAAATTTCATTTTGTCCTTTCCCTGCAACAGATTTTGCAAAAGTGGAGCAAAATAGCTTGCTAGGGTTCTTCAGAGCATGCAGGTAAGGCAATTTGGTTTGATTGAAAGCATGTATCTGCAATAAATTAGAAAATGAAGATTGTACACAGAGTGACTTATGCATTCAGTAAAGCCTGCCAAACAAGCACAGAAATCATGAGAAATGAGTTCTTTTCAAGTTTCATGATCTTTATTCTTTTAGTTTCTGGTCACCTAATTATCTCAAAACTTCAACATGCAATTCAATAATGAGTGAGTCCACCCCTACCCATTTCCAAATTAAAGGGTTCAGGTGACAGTTGATTGAAGTTTTTTTGTTTTTTGTTTTTTTCTCTCTTTTTGTTGAGATTAGATGTATTTTAGGTTTTGTGCAGATAGTGTAATATTCTCATGCCACTTGGAAACACAGGAATATTGCTACATATATCTAGCTTGGTTGGAAAAGCTTCTGCTCCAGGTTAGTTCTTCACCTATTTCCTGTGAAATCATAGTAAAGTAAGTAACAGAGAAATCCCAAGCACAGGTAGAAGCCCACCATCTAATGAAACAAATTAAATTTTTTGCTGACCCATTGGTAGTTAGGCCAAACCCATTTTCTAGTCCAGTTTGGCAACCAATATTTACATATTGGCTCCAAGTATTTATATGGGTTGGACTGAGTTGGGGTTTACTTCTCATTTCTATCACCTTCTGGGCTAATTGCCAAGTCAAATTTTTGCTTATAGAGCTCACATGTAAAGATGTGCATGTTGGGGATGGTTTTTATGTGTTGACCAATACTAGTCCCCTCATTGGTTGAGCCAAGTGTCTAATTATATAGGTATATATAGTTGTAAGTTTTGAAACCTTGCAAGTATGGTGTTAAGTGTAGAGTATTAGCCTAATAGTAATAGTGACTAACAGCCTAGGGTTTTTTGTTTAAATTAATTTTTTTTTATATAAACAAGCTATATTGGGGGAGGGAGAAATCGAACCTAGGACTTCGAGTGGAGAGATAAATGTTCTTAACCACTTGAGCTAAGTTTAATTCTTCCCTTTATTGTTTTTCAAGCAACAGTTTTAGTATAGACTGAAAAACAACACCATTTAGCCAGAAAGGCTGTAACATCCATGCTCTTGAACTCTTGCCCATGTAGAAGAAAAGCATACAAATCTATATTTAACAACAAAAACAAGAGTGTTGGCACTAGATATTTGCCAAAAGTAAGAATGCAAAATGCATTTTATCAATTTTCTTCAATACGTCGGGGATACAAGGCAGTGAACTAGAAATCAAAACTACAGATAGCACGATGGTTGAGGTTACAATCTTAACGTAGGGGGGAGAGAGAGAGAGAGAGAGAGAGAGAGAGTCAACAGTTAGATTCTCATTCTATGCACATTTTTCTGTATTTTAAACACCCTTTATCGCTTGGAGTGCACCGTGGTGCACCTTTTTATGTTGTTATCTTTTACTTTTTACTTGCGTTGGACCCAGGCACGCCAAACCACTTTCATAATTTGATTCCCCAACATGCACTACTCAACTGCACCTCCAATTCAAAAGTGCATACTCGTGCATCCCATTTCTCTCTCAAACAACAATCACATTCCATTTTGATCTCAAGCTTCTTCCACCAATTTTGGAGAACAGGATGAGACAGCCTCTGCAACCGTGAGAAAAATCCTGTCTTCGCCGATCAAGTTTGCGACATGGGATGCATGAATCTTATCAATCACCACTGGACCAGGATTTGCAAGAACAAGCTGCGGGGCAAGTTTGGAGGTAAGGCAACTTGAACCAATTCATATCGCATACAATAGCAGTGTGATTTTTGTCAACTGAAGTACAAGATGACATAAGATGATTTAAGCATGCATGTGATTTACCTGAATGTCTCTCTTTCGGAGACTACTATGCAACTCTTCTAGGGCATGAATGCCACTGGTGTCGATATCAGTCACAGCTGCAGCAAACACAAGACATCGTGAGAAACGAGTTTATGAAACCAAGAGTGATGAATCACCCCATAGGCTGTTTGGTTTTAAAGATCAGAAAACTGCTTACGTGACATTTCAACTATCAAAAACTCAATGCTTGGTAGGTATGCTTCTTTTAGCAGTTCTTCTTCATCTGCCAACCATCTCAATATCCTGCAATTAGGAAGTTGAACTTCAGCACCAGAGGACTGGCAGTATGACTAAAAAGATTGTAAAAATCAAATTCAGACAATTTCTAGGTTCTTTCTATGTAAAGGTCATATAGACTACCAGAACTAACATGACTTATACACACCATACTGCCAGTTTTGAGTACAAAATCTCTAATAATTCGAAGAAACAGCTTAGTAACAGTTTAATCTTTAACAGCCAAAGGAAAATATGCTCTCTCCTTTTCTCCTTTAACACTTATCTCCCTGTGGGAACTCCCTCAATTTATGATTCTTTTAATCATAATGAATTTAGATCAGCTGTCAATTTAAGACAATCAGAAGTTGCCTTTATATGGCTCCTTCTTTAGTGAGATTATATGAACAAATGCCTGAACCAAAATACGTTATTGCTATGGGAGCATGTACAATTACAGGGGGGATGTTTTATATAGATGACAGGTCATAGAATTACCTTCTTTTTTTTTTTATAACTTAAGAATTACCACAAAGAACTAATTGAACCGAGGATACAGAGAGAGCATATGTACCTCTCCTTAATGTAGTTGGAGTTGGAAAAGTAAATTGCAGAATCAACTCTCACAATCATAACACCTGGAACCTTGGTTGCTTCTGGATATTGTTGGATGTTTCTATATACAGTTGTGTTAGGAATCTTCCCAAGTATTGCAGTCCGTGGTCTGGTAACTTGTAAGAGGATTTTAGCGAATGATATTGAGACCTGGACACAAACATATGATAACTTGTATCACTGATCTCTGCATGATAGTATTGGAAACACAAAGTAGTTAACAATGATGATTTATACCGCTATTAAGAGGCCTATCTCAACAGATGCAAAGATTACACCAAAGAAGGCTCCCATGCAAGCCACAAAATCAAATTTATCAATCTTCCATATAAGGATTGCTGCTTGGAAGTCGATTAGGTTGATCACAGCAGATATAATGATGGCAGCGAGAATGGCATTTGGGGTGTACTTAAAAAGAGGTGTAATGAATTGCAAGGTCAGGAAAACAACACAGGACATCACAATATTAGAGACTGCAGTTTGGCAGCCTGCCATGTAGTTCACTGCCGAGCGAGAGAATGAACCTGCAAGTACGAGCAATTAATCAGTTCCATGTCCTTAGTCACTTGTCCCGCTAGGTACTACGTTCCAAGGTTTCAGGTATGCTTATTGCTTAACCCAAGAGTATCATCTTCAAAGTATTATGCATTAACTATATATTGGCTTTTTATCACAAATGGTCCTTCAGGTTTACAAAATTATCACGAATCGTCCTTTAGGTTTTTTTGTGACACTAAAAGTCCTTTAGGTTATCATCCACCCATCAAAATAGTCATTCTGTTAGTTTCTGTTAAAACTGAAGTTAAACTCACGTGCTCATCCTGTTTTTTGAAATATAATCTCATCATTCCACTCAACTTTTTTGACCAAACCCAACTGGGGGGAAAATGAGCCTTTTAAGGTACTATATGAGGGGCAAAACGACAGTGAGGTTGAAGAGGAACAAGATGAAGATGAGGAAGATCCATTGGATATAGACTTCATAGATAGTGACTATAAGCAAATAGGAGAAGCTGAAGAGATTGAGATCGATAATAATATGTTTGAGGAAAATATAGATAATCCGATTGAAGAGGAGCCTGAAGAGATGGGTTTTGCAGGGGAGATTTCAGACCATTTGGAAAACTCTGAGGATTTTCATAGCAAACATGGGTATGATGAATCTGATGTGGATGATGAAGTTAGCAGCAAGAAGAAAAAGACCAAAGTAGTTCCTAACTATCGACAATGGAGGAGAGAGTCTATGTTGAGGAATCCAAGCTTTGATATTGTTATGCACTTTCCTAACAAAAGTCAATTCAAAGAGGCTGTGATTGCAAGTTAGAGTTCTGACAGTTGGGTTTGGTCGAAGGTTGAGTGGAATGATGAGATTATATTTCAAAAAGCAGGATGAGCACGTGAGTTTAACTTCAGTTTTAACAGAAACTAACAGAATGACTATTTTGATGGGTGGATGATAACCTAAAGGACTTTTAGTGTCACAAAAAAACCTGAAGGACGATTCGTGATAATTTTGTAAACCTGAAGGACCATTTGTGATAAAAAGCCCTATATATTTATAATCCATCTTCAAAGTTTTTAACTGTCAAACTTTAGCATTAAAAAATATCTTAGCCAGCTAGAAGCTTAGAACAAGAGACTACGGCACAAATATGCGTTCCTAATTATTGGTATTGGTGTTCATCACTGTCCAAATAGTATCTAATTTATATAATTTAAATGGTACTTTCTTCTCACCTGTCGACACATAGCAGGAAGTCATTGACCCAACAATGTTCATGGTTCCTAGAGCTACCATTTCTTTGTTTCCATCTAGTTGGTAGTCCTTCATGGTAGCAAAAGTTCTTCCAATTGCTATAGCTTCCTGACAATTCACGCCAATAAGAAAGTGTTAGATACAAAAAGAGATATCAATTTTTCTCTTGGTAAGAGGAAATGGGTTATGAGATTGCTCACTGTTAATGCTATCATCCCAGCCACAACACCAATCTTAAAACCCTTCGCGAGATAGTCCCCGGTAAAAAATATCTCATTCACAGATGGAGGATTGATTCCTTTTTCGATATGTCTCACCTTCATACATAGATAAACCATTAGTATTGCTTCTAGTAACTGCCAATCAGAAGTACTAAATAGTATGAGAAAAGAGGAAGAGAAGATTATAGCATAGGGACTTACAATTTCAACCCCATTCTTTTCTGCATGAGTTATGTACACAAAAAAGGTGGACAGGATAACCGATATCAGAGGGGCAATTGCTGGGACCCAGAAGAGATTCTTCTTCTTCTTTCCCTGCTCCCCAAAACATGTGAAAATCAGACAAGAACTAACAAGCTTGAATCATATTAAGTAAATAGAGGCAAAGTTTGGGAATTCTTACAATATATTTGGCTAACAAAAGAAACGTTAGAAATGATGCTCCAATGGCCATTGTCTGCCAGTTCCACTGCAAAATTTTGTCATATAGGATTCAGTAACTTGATGTTGTAGTCAGTCAAAAAGAAAAACTTGATGTTTCAGGTTTCAGATCCTAGTGGAAAAATACATAAACAAATGAGTTAGAGAGGTAGATAGAAATTACCCCATGATGCGCTGACTGAAATACTGATTGCATTACAGAGACAATATCAGTTTTCTTTGTGAACTTCTTTATGCCAAGAAAACCCTTAAGCTGTTGGAGTGCAATTGTGATGGCAGCTCCGCCCATAAATCCAACAATGGCAGCATGAGATAGGAAATCAATCAAGAACCCCATCCTGATAACAAAAAGAAAACAAGTATAATATTATCCACTAAGAACGGAAAGCTAAAATGCCTTCAGAGATAGAATAAGAATTAAGGTAAGAAACAATTAAGATGTAACTTCCCTTTAAGAATCAGAAAGCTGAAGTAGACAATTACCTCAAAATCCCAAGGGTAGCTTGGGTGATCCCAGCAAAAAAGGTAGCCGTGAACGCCAGCCTCCGGTAATCTACTGGATTTGTAGTGGGGTCAATCTCATTCCGGAGCAAGGTACCCAACAGGAGAGACACCACAGCCACAGGTCCGATGGCGATATCTCTTGAGCTGCCCATGATAGCATAGATCAACGGTGGAACAAAGCTCGAGTCTGTAAAGGTTTGGAACAACAGAAGAGAAGTCTCAGTCTCACAACAATATCCAAGGAAATCAGTTATAAGAGAGGAAGGTGTTGTTGAGTAGCATAGATACTTACACAATCCATACTGGGGAAGCAAGTTTGCAAGTTTTGAATAGCCAATGTCCTGATTTTCCAGTTGAGAACAATCATTAGAACCAACCATGAAAATGGAAAATGACATAAATTAGCTATTCTTTTATTGTTCCCTTCTATCTGTTCATCTATTAAGCTGCTAAGTTACCTGAGGGATGCAGAGACTAGCAATAGTCAGTCCAGCAATTAGATCCCCCCTAAATTTCAACAGATTATATCCTCTCCCCCATTCAAATATGGGGAAGATGGCCTGCACGCCAAGGATGAACTTTCGCGACTTTGGCTGATGCTTGAAGGGCCTTAGAGGATCATCTGAAAAGAATGTTTCTTTGATGGTGTTTGTGAATTCCTTGAAGAGTTTTTGCTTTGGGGGAAGTCCTACTTTGTGAATGTAAGGTGTGCCCTGTGAATGATTGCGCGAAGATGACATACTTCTAGTGTCCATCTCTTTCGTTTCAAGTTCTTCGTCGTTTGAATGAACTGAAGCCATGAATGATCAGTTCACCTGTAATGCAGGAAACAGCAAAAGAAATCATGAGCAGACAGATAAGAACACAGACTCCTATTTATAAACAAAATGATAGAGCAAAAGTGTGAAGGGCTGAAATAAACCACTAGGAGCGGTTTCTAGTTGCATGCAGAAGGTATGTTTTTTTGACACCCTCTACCTTCAACGTTTTAAAGATGGTGATTAATCAACTAGTTCATGGGAATATTTTTCTGAGTGAAGACCTATTCAGTTAATGCACATATCTCAAAAGAATCCATGGCTAATAATATGACAACACTTAAGAAACAAAACTTGTCCGCCGAAGTGATAGTAATAGAAACTGACTCTAACCCAATGAGAAGAATGGATGCCAGAGAAGGCTTTGCGCAAATAATTGTTTGAAAGTACACACAGGGCTTACGTGAATGCTGAAGGAAGCTAAGAAGCTCTTCCTTATATAAGCACTTAAAAAGGACTTCTGGTCAAACTTTTCAAGCTGAAAAGTCACAAGCACAAAAAACGCATTAAGGTGTGAATCCGGATCTCTTACATGACAAATACATAATTAACAACAAAGTTTAGCAAAAAAAGTTTCAATCCCAACCAGCCGACGGTTTGATTATTCAATTTCTGGTGATTGATGTTAGCAAAGTGATCATCATTTCTTCCATAATTGTAGTGCTTAGGGGTACAATATGTTTTCAAATATTGAAATATGGTGTTGACTTAAGTGCACGGATGGCAGCAGCTAGAAAACCAGAAGCATATATCCATTCTCTTTAATTATTTATTAGGCCTTGTTTTTCGACCTTAAGTCCATCCCAACAGACACTACAAGTCTAGAAGTAGATGTTTGGTGTCTTAAAAGAAAAAAACAAAAAATATAGAATCAAATTCTTACTTATGGTCCCATTTTGAGGTAAACCCCTGTTATTCTGGTGCAGCAAACCTATGGCCCAACTTGCTTTTCACCTAATGTTGAGAATTTTGTGAGGACAACAAAAAGGTTTGACTGAACAGAGACAAAATGGAAAAGAATGTAAGAAGGGAGGGAAGAAATAAAGGGTTTACCGATCTTCATTGAGAGAAGAGGCGCAGTTGTTAATATAAGCAATACACCTTGTTATAGACGGCTAAATGCATGCTTTTTTCTTTTCTTTTTTTTAATTTTTTTATATATTTATATATTGGATTCTTCACACTAAGTTGAATTTACAATCACAATGTTCATTGATGCTGATATGAAACAATAGAAGCAGCAGCATCCAAGGCTTTAACTTTAAAACTAGTGTCACAGAGGAAATATGCTATTCCCATAAAGGATTAAAACCCTACTTTATCTCTAAATCTGCATAGAAGTTCAATAATCAATTATGCCACTTTGGAATTCCTAAAAAGCCAACTTGACCAATTCTATTGAACTGCACAATAATCTTTAAACTATTTGGTTTTGATATTAACACCACCCCAATAAAACTCTTTAATCAGAGTCTTTCTTGTTCATGGTTTCCAAATATATTGCTCATTCAAAAGTTTAGTTTAACAGATTGCAGAAAGAATAAAACCAGAAACAGATGATGATAAATATGAACCGAAGACCTGCAAGACATTGTTTTTTCCTCTCTCTGTTTTTTTTTTTTTGGGTGCTGGGTCTTTTTCCAAATTGCATATATGTATTTGGTATGGAGAATAAAGTCTAAATCAGAGTCTCTCTTACCTCCTACATATGCTTCTCATGAAAACCACTGATAGTGGGGGGGTACAATTATATGCCTATCCAAAAGGTCTTCCTTTCTGAAAAAATGCACTTGAGCTCAAAACTCCTGTACAAAAAGGGCAAAAGAACCAAACAAATGAATAAAATATTGCATTTAAAAAATAGTTAGAAGCAAAAAAAATTACTATATAACATGCACAAAAAGGCAGAACCCAGCATGAGCTCCCCACCTTCTCTTTCTCTCCCACACTCAACGGTCCTCATGTTTCTGAGAAAAAAAAAATTTCAATTTATAAATAATGGGCAATCTTTGAAGAAGCACAAGAGGAAGATTTAGATGGATAAAAAAAAACCCAGTTTTGTTTTTGTCTAGGTTCAATGTACCCAAAAATTGATTGTGAAACTCCATACCTGTACCACCTGTTCAGTGTTCAGGCATTGTTTAACAAAAAGAAAAAGTCCCCCAAAAAAGAGAAGCCCCAGTAAAATAGGAAACTTGTTTGGTTGCCGAGAAAATTATGTAACCAAAGTACCAAACTGAGCAGCCAGGAGGATCCCCAAAAATTACAAAGCCGAAATTAAAGCCACCAGGACAACATGAAATCTCTTATATTTTGGCACAAAATCTAGAAACCCAATTCACATTGGTTCACACAAATTGTAGTCGTATTATTGGACCTACTATTGGTATTGTTGAATTTTGAGAACATGTTTGTTGAGGACTCAACTGGGGGCTCGATATTTACGGAACTGCCACGCGTCAAAATGGAAGATTAAGGAAGAAACGACTTGTTTGGCTGCCGGGTTTCGCTTTTCCCTTACTTTTTAAAAGAAACATTTTTAGTTTGTTTCTGCGTTTCTTTCGTGGAGAAACGTCACAAATTCAAAGCCCTCCCTGAGCCCGTGTTTTCTTATCCTCGATTTTAATTTTTCTTCGGAGTGGGCCCCTCCCCGCGCGGGAAAAGTAGAACAAGGACGTTTGTGAGGCTAGGTTCGGGATGTGGCATATTGAATGAGGACTTTTCGCCAGTGGTTGACTGGGAGCATTGGGAATTGATAATTAGATCTGGAGTCATTTTGGGTAAGCATGGTTATTAGATAATTAGATTTTATATACTATATATCAATCATTCACCGAAAAAGAAAAAAACATACGTCACCAGTAACGTTCATCTCTCGTCAATTTTTTAATGTTAAACAGTTGTGATGCATATAGAACTAATTACGATATAAATTATACATAGGAACTCTACAAGTGTGTTTATATCTTTTATTTTATTTTTTTTAATTTTTTTAAAGCGATAGTCTAATTTGCTTTATATTAATCTAATTTACAGAAAGAGATATTTGAATTTGTGTTTAAGGGGATGGGCTAAATGATTGGCCAACTCACCTAACCCATGTGTGTGTGTGTGGTTTTTTTTTTTTTAAAAAAAAAATTTAATAAACTAAAGAGGCGATTTGAATTTGTGACTTACTTTAGTATTGAAAATAGAAATACCTCTCTCCCTCCCCTAAACTTTTTTTTTTCCAAAAAAAAAAAAGAAGAAATATCATAAGACAAATAGCTAAATGATTGTGGGAGCAAATATTCCGGCTTCCAATCACAAGATACCACGTGAACAAGAAGAATATAAATGGGCTCAATAATTGAGCCCATTTATTTGGCCAATTAATTGATACCAAAAACAGGGATATTATCTTAAATATGAGATATTATCTTTATTTGGAAATATAATCAGTAATTAAAAGATAATATCATCAATTTATGATATTATCTTATTTTGATGATATTATCATCAATTAGGGATTTGATTCTAATTGAAATCCTTAATTGACTCAATCTCACCATTTAAGGGAAATAATATCTTTCTTTCAAATAGGAATTATTATTTGAAAAACCCTAGATGGCTAGAGCCCTATAAATACATAGCCACATTCAACACACAAGATAATCCAAAAACATAGCTCTAAAACCCCTGAAACCTCTCTCTCTCCCTAGCCGTCGGCCACCTCCATTGCCCCCGGCCACTCCTTCTCTCATCTCTCCCACATGGCTAAGTGTCATCACACATAGCTCCGGCCACTCGACTCTCCTTGTGAGAGAAAACTCAGTCCAGTTTAGCTATTGCCGCATCTTTTCTCAAAGATCCAATTGAACTAACTTAAGTATCGGAAGGTCTTTGGGCAACACCTCTACATGTGGTCTTTTACTCATATTTGTTTTATAGTAATCGAGGAAAAGAGAAAAGGAAGCTTAAAAGATGACGGATCTACACACGAATATCCTCTCATGAGAAATTTGCACAAACATTGATCATGTTAGGTATGTATGTATGTTGGAACACAATTTTATTTTTTTTATTTTTTGGTTGAGAAATTATGGGATTGTATTCATAATTCAGCCAAAAAAGCCATTAGCCACAAATGGATATAAACTAGTTACACAAGGGGCATTACAATAATAGAGCGATCTAACATCAAAATTAAGACAATCTGGTGCGCCTCCACTTGATCATACACGATCGAAGAAACTCTAACATAGGCATCCCAATTAAGATTGCAAACTTAGTACAATAAAAAAAATATATATAAAGCTTGGAAAAACCAAGCTATAACAATACAAATAAAACTCCCACAAAAGAAGAAGTGTTTTTCGTGAGAGAGAAAGCTAGGATTTTTGTTGTGTACTTTTCAAGTCATGCAATTTTTCCATCTTATTCTTTGGGTATAGCCATAGTCATTTTCAGTTCATAATTTTTTTTTTCCTTTTTGGTACAATTTCAGTTGGTGATACTGATGAATTTTATTTTATTTTTTCCTTTGTCATAGACAATTATCTGTCAAACTGCGTTGCCATTTGAAGTATGTTGACTAAAGTACAAGTACTTCGAAATGGCTTTAATTTTTACTTTTTTTTTTTTTGGGGGATAACATCGAATATACATGCATTGGCCTCAGAAAAAAGAAGACGAGCAGGAAAGAACCGAAGAATCCTCTCTCTCAATTATGTAAACGAATAAGAATAAAATCAGACATGAGAAAACATCTGTCGAGAAGTTGACATCTCACCTAACAATAAAATAAACAATAATAACGACGGAAATAAAATAAAAATATATATTATTACATGGATAGATAAAAGAGGATTATTTTCAACTGTACTTGTGTTTTTTTCTTCGGTCAAGAAATGGTACTTGCTTTTTAGATAATAGAAGGTACAAATCCTAAAGTTTCAAGTCAAAGTTTTTGACAAATAGAAGGCCGAAGTTTATAGAATGGAATTTGCAGGGAGCTTTTCAACTTAGAACATCTATTTTCAATGGACTGAATTAGCATCAAAATTTATAGTATAAATTGTTTACAATAGTTTTAAATTTTTATTCTTGAATATCATCGTTCTCGATCTCTAATCTATTTCTATTTTCTTTTCCTTTAAAAAACATAAAGAAATCAAAATATATTAAGTATTACTAAACATGCAGGACCACCCAAAATTAATTGGCAATAGGAGGAGTAGCCCAACTCCTTATAAGTTTTTTTAGGATTTTCTAACTTTCTAAGGTGAAACTTTTTACCTTTAGATTCTCATAATTATAATGAATTTGTACCCAATGCCCCATGAAAATTCAAAAAGGTGGGTTCAGAAAATCCAACGTTTAGAAGGGGTCCTTTTTCTCACAGCCACAAGTTCATTTTTTTTATTTTGTTAATAAAGAGACAGGTGATTACAGATCTAGTTTTTTTTCTTTTCAATTATAATAATTCAGGAAAATCAACGAATGGAATTTAATGAAATTCATCCAAGGGAGATGTCAAATACCAAACATCAAATTTAAATTTGATGGCTGATGTGGCAATTTGACATTTATACAGTTTTACACTCCACTCGATATGTCAAATAAATAATTATTGTAACAGTCAAACCATTTAAGATAAAGAAGAAAAAAAATATAAAAAGAAAAATAATAAATGAAAGTAACAACCAACTATCTTTAAAAATAATAAAATATTCATTTGACATCTTGCTTTTGGGATGTCAAAAATAACATTTCAACCTCCAGCCTTCATTCCACATCAGTTTTGACACATCGGTTGGAGTGATGTGAGATGTTATTTCTAGCCATTAAATGTCTATGTGGCACTTTTAACACATCGGTTGGAGATACTCTAATGAAATTTTTTCTCTTTGTGTACAACTAACAGCTGGTCTGAAAGAGATAAATCTGCAAAATAGTCGGTCAGTCAGAGAGGCTTCATTCCACACTACACATATGTATGTGATGTGA